GGGCGGGGGGGGGGGCAGTTAGGGGCAACCAGGCCAGTAGGGGTGGCAGTTAGGGACGATCAGGCCGGCACTCAGAGACGCTGAGGGGGGCAGTTAGGGGTGACCAGGCTGGCGGGTGGGCAGTTGGGGGCAACCAGCCTGGCGGGGGGGCAGTTAGGGGTGATCAGGCATGCAGGCAGGTAAGCAGTTAGGAGCCAGCAGTCTTGGATTGTGAGAGGGGTGTCCCAGATTGTAGAGGGTTCAGGCTGGGCTGAGGGGACCCTCCCTCCCTTGCACAAATTTCATGCACTGGGCCTCTAGTCTATATATTAAAAAAAATCTAGGCGACTGAATGACTGAACAACCAGTCGACCGGTCGCTATGACATGCACTGACCACCAGGGGGCAGATGCTCAACACAGGAACTGCCCCCTGGTGGTCAGTGCACTCCCACAGCTGGAGTGCTGCTCAGCTGACTTCCCCGTCCCGGCGGCCCACCAGCCCGGCGGCAGCCACTCACTCCCTCAGTAGTCCTGCAGGTCCAATCTCTGGAGAATGGGCCAGGCACCGATGGACCGGCGCCGCTAGCACGGTCCCGACAGTGCCGCCAGCCTCTGGGAAGTCAGCCTCGGGCACCATGGCCACTTCCCCTCCCTAGATGCTCCACAAGGAAGAAATGATATAAAAGTGGCTGCCAGGTGGCTCCTGATAATCAGCATGAACATCAGCGGGACGGGTCTGGATTCTGGGCCTGCAAGGGCATCCCACTGCCTCTGGGCTGATCACGTCCCAGCCCCACCCAGTCCCCTTGGGACAGATGCCAGATGCAGGGCTCATGGCTGGCAAGAGCTGCTGCAGTGGTGTGAGCCTCTCCTGATCAGGACTGACTAGGTGTGAGTCCGCAGCAGGTGCAGCGGGGGCCGGGATGAGCTGGAGCGGCAGGCAGCATTGGACTGTGGGTTTCGGTCCGATCCCTGCAGGCCACCACGAGGGACCCCACCCGTGCACAAATTCATGCACCGGGCCTCTAGTATAATATATAAAAACACTGATATAGACCTATTATTCTAAATCTTAAAAAATAACAGAGGAAAGAATCTATTCTTTATATTTTTAAAGATTGATAACAAAGAGCATAAACTACAGGCAGACCCATAGCTTGAAATAAAATGTTCTTAGTAAATAATTTTTTATTAAGACCATATTGTGACTCTCTAAATTGTCCCAATCTTTGATGCTTACTTTGCATTCCCCAGTATATTTCCATCTACAGGACACTTCTCTATAGGCTAGCAACACACTTTGTAATGGACAAATACTCAAATATTGTTGGAAAACCCCAGAATATGTGTCATGAGCAATTTACTACCCCAATTTATTAGAAATCTGGAAAAGTATTTTATTCAACCACAGGTAAACTTATTTCAGACATTCAGATTTCAATTTCTTTAGATGTACTTTACCATCAATTGAGCTGTGTGTGTATGCGCCCGTGCATGCGCGTGTGTGCATGCGCATGTGTGTAGGCAGTACTTCCTACTTGTACAATTTTTAAAAATTAACTGCAGTCTTTTATGTACTAGTAACACACTAATATTTAAATATCTATCAGTTTGGGGGCTGATTAAATAATCTAATTATAGCAGACCAACATGTTGAGCTATTAGTTAATTTTTTAAAAGAATGAGGCAGCCCTATATGCACAGATATAGAAATGGAAAAGGCAAGGTGCAGAACAGTGGGTATAATATGCTAGCATTTGTATGTGACTGAAAACATTGGTTGACCCCATGCAACATATAAGGGGCAGGGGATTGGGATCAGACGAAGACTGACTTTTTGAACACCTCTTTGAATGAGTTAATTTTTTTCAACCAGGTTCGTAAAAGATTTTTTTCTATAATAGTGATTATAAAGTTAAGGTTGATACTTTATAATTAGTTTTTATAATTTTTAATGAAAATTAAATGGTTAAAGAGCCGAAACCGGTTTGGCTCAGTGGATAGAGCATCGGCCTGCAGACTGAAAGGTCCCAGGTTCGATTCCGGTCAAGGGCATGTACCTGGGTTGTGGGCACATCCCCAGTAGGAGATGTGCAGGAGGCAGCTGATCGATGTTTCTCTCTCATCGATGTTTCTAACTCTCTATCTCTATCCCTTCCTCTCTGTAAAAAATCAATAAAATATATTTAAAAAAAAATTAAATGGTTAAAGAAACCTTGAAACTACTCTAATTTACCTAATATGTGGTTTCTTTACTGCATTTGCATCTGCTTTCTATGTGAGCTTTTATATATTGGGGATAAATGACTCATGGGAAGTTTTGGGTTACCACTGCTGGTAGAAGCATTGATACCATTTTCCTTGATCTGCCCTTTAGACAAGTAACACAACGGAGGTTATTCCAAGTAATTTGCTTTTTGGATATATTTTACATCTGCAAGCTTTAAAATGGTAGGTCCAAACTTCCTGCAAGAACAGACTGCATATTTACTTGAAGCTAACCTGGGTCTACTTAAGTTCATGTTCACTTTGGCTAAGCCAGGGTATGAGGGCAGGGTGTCTAGCAAAAAGACTTCCATTCCTGCCAATCCAACAGGAGCTTCTTTTTACTTTAAAGTTAACTATTCTGTGTATAAAGCAGTATCTAGACATTTGATCTTAAATGGGAATGTTATCTGAAAATGGTACCATCTTTTAGAAAACTTTAAAATTGCCATCTTATTTTTAGCCTTTGTGGGATGGGGAGAATGACTACAACAAAAGCTGATTAGTTCTGTTGCTACAGTATATTAATTCACATCTGGTTATCTCTACTGGGCAGAATTTTAGTTTTCTGAAGTAAAGGAAATTAGCAGAAGATAATATCTTCTCAAATATAAAATCACACTTAAACATTCTAAATGAAATGGCAAGTGAGTCAATTATCCCAGAGCAGGTATAGGAGAAGCCACCTGCAGGTTATATAATGATAGAATGCATTCTAAAATCAAACCAACCTCGGTTCAACTCCAGCTCTGCTATCCGCAAGTGGTGACTTTGAGCAAGTTTCCTATCTATAAATGGGAATGCTGTCACTTCTTGTAGGACTGTTGAGAGGATTTAATGAGATAAAGCAAGAAAACACCTACCCTGGTATCAGTCACATATCATGCAAAAAAAAAAAAAAGAAAAAGAAAAAAGAAAAAAGAAAGGAAAGTGATTCAAGACCAGAATTGTACCCTTTGGCAGTCTTCAGGGACCAAATTCACAGAAAGTGGCTACATACCCTCCTCCTTGCTTTGGTCTGGATGAAGACAAGAGGCCTGTGTGATTTTTCAAAGAACTTCAAGAAAGGAAGTTGGAGGAGAGGCCGGACCAGTAGTGTAAACCCTACCCTAGGGTGAATTGTAGCAAAGAGGATAAGTAATGCAGCCAAAGGCAGGAAAAAATGCTCTCTGGGTGCACAAATGGGCACCACGGCAAGCAGAGCTGCTTCTGAACCCACAGCCCCATGATGGAACACTGCATTCAACTCCAAGTCAAAGCATGGCTTACCGAGATTCGGCTGGGACACGGCCATGGGCCTCTGGGGCACTGGTGTGGAAGTGGTGGCAGGGTGGAGACTCATATGATTCAGGGGCTGATTCATCAACTTCCTAGGGTCTTGCCATGTGGTGATTTTTTCTATGTGACTAAAAGAAAGAAAACAATTATCTTTTTAATTTTCAGTATCATTATCCTTATCACCATCACCAATAATAGCACAACAGTCCATGACTTTGGCTCTTCTTCCCTTAGGACCTGCTTCCGAGCAGCTGACCCATTGTACTTGGTTTCATGCAAGGTCAGGTCACTTACCTAGCATCCAAACAAGGCTACACTGGGGATTTTGCAGTGACTCTCTGAACACAAGCCCATCACTAAGCTGTCCCAGAAGCCCCTCTGAAAGGTTTTCTGCCTTACTGGGGACAGACAAGCCCCAGCAGTCCTCATCACCGCCCAAGGAGCCTGCGTTCCCAGCTCCTCAGGGACATCACTGCCATCCAATTACTGGGACGCCACGGTGTGAGCTCCTATCCAGAAGCAGGGCCGCCAGCCCTCCCACACTCGCAAGGCTCATTTAATTGACACCTCCACCTGTCCTCAGCCAAAGACCAGGCCCTTGAAACCAACCTCATAACCATGACCTTACTGTGTCCTTACTAAGTAAGGCACTGTGAAGTCCATATGGGTGATACATAAAACCCTCGAGAGGCCTATGTTCTGCCGTGCATGGTCACAACTGTGTGGCTGAGCAAAGCAGCAGGAAGTACTAGTAAGTGCAGAGGGCAGGAGCACCAGATTAAGGAGACACCTCGACGCTGAGGCACAAAGGCCTCTGAGGGAGAAAACATTAGACTTTGAGTCACATACAACTACCACTGTTTGTCATTATGACTGTCTCAGAGAAAGTAGCACAACAAGCTTCTGCCCAGTTTCTGATATGTCCTTGGAAGGATGGACGGGCCGGCTCTACCTAACTGGCTCCCAACCACATCACAAGTTATTCTGCGTGCATTATATAAACCCCGCACCACTCCACGGCTCCATCTTTTTTAGAGAGGTTATTACATTTTTCTTTTACAGATGAGTATATTCACAGCCTTTTTTTAGGAACTATATCAGAGATTTTCTATGTTTATCAAAGACAGAAAACTGATAGCAGAAACTGAATGCCAGCCCTTTGTTCCAGGCCTTACAATTGGCTGCACTCCCCAACCCAATTTGCAATGCCAACCCCTAGGCACTACTGACCCTGCTAGAAAAGGTCTTTTCTGTTGCTTGTTTCCACATTTATTTATTTATTTGTTTGTTTGTTTGTTTATTATTGATTTCAGAGAGGAAAGGAGAGGGAGAGAGAGATAGAAACATCAATGATGAGAGAGAATCATTGATTGGCTGCCTCCTGCTGGGGATCGAGCACACAATCTGGAAATGTGCCCTTGGCCAGAATCCAACCCAGGATCCTTCAGTCTGCAGGCCAACGCTCTATCCACTGAGACAAACCAGCTAGGGTTACATTTATTTTTATTTTTAAATACATTTTTTATTAATTTCCGAAAGGAAGGGAGAGGGAGAGAGAGATAGAAACATCAATGATGAGGGAGAATCATTGATCAGCTGCCTCCTGCATGCCCCCTACTGGGGATTGAGCTTGCAACCCAGGCATGTGCCCTTGGTTCGTGGGTCAACGCTCAACCACTGAGCAATCGGCTAGGCTGTTTCCTCACATTGAAATGCTGCCACTGGCCCTGCTAAAATTCCTCTTCAGATTTCCCCATCCTAGACTGGAAGCTATTGCCTTGGGGAACTCATCCATTGCCTTGATTGAAAACTTGGACGTATCCCAAGAATGCTTTTTTTTTCTTAAATATATTTTATTGATTTTTCACAGAGAGGAAGGTAGAGAGATAGAGATTAGAAACATCGATGAGAGAGAAACATCAATCAGCCGCCTCCTACACGCCCCCTACTGGGGATGTGCCCTTAACCAAGGTACATGCCCTTGACTGGAATCGAACCTGGGACCCTTCAGTCCGTAGGCCGACGCTCTATCCACTGAGCCAAACCGGTCAGGGCCCAAGAATACTTGAAATGAGTGTGAGTGTTAAAGAGGGGTTCCGGGGGAACAGCCTCGGAAAAGGTGGAACTTCTGCATCTCACTACTGTAGGAGCCATCAGCCGTCTTCAAAGAAATCAATAATGCAGTGGGAGTAATAAAATCAAAGAACCAAAACTATCTTCTTAGCCCTGGCAAGTGGTTGGAATGTCATCCTCGCCTACACCAAAAGGTTGTGGGTTTGATTCTAAGTCAGGGCATATATGGGAGGAAACTGATTGATATTTCTCACACTGATGTTTCCCTCTCTCCCTCCTTTCCTCTCTCTCTCTAAAATCATTTAATATATATATATATATATCCTTGGGTGAGGATTAAAAAAAAACTATCTTGTTAAGAAAAGAAACAAATAGAGGGGGAAGAGATTGAACTAAAGAGATCAGAATCCATTACCTAAGCATAAAAAAAAATGAAAAAAGAACAATGGTTTTAGTTATGCCTTCAGTTTAACAATTGTAATTCTGTTTAAAGCTTTTCATAAAGTACTTTTGTCAAATTTTGGCTCTGTGGAAACTCATAGCCAGCTTGTGGGGAGGGGAGGGTTGTAACAGGCCTTCAGAGTGAGAAAGCAATTGCTGAAGACGTCAAAGTTAACTAACTTGCTTTGACAAAGTAATTAGAACTAAGAAACCCTTTGACTAACTATTCTTTCAGCACCATACTATTGAAACTTGTTTCCCAAGGTAGGCAGGTCCTGCATAAATACTTTCCACTGTAGTACCAGAGGGGAGGAATCATTCTCTCTATCAGGAGCCTTTCTTAGACCCTCCGACACCATGAATAATGATGCAGTGCGAGAACCAGTATAAGCACAGCCCGGTAAGATGGAGTGATGTATATGGAATGGTAGCAGACATTAAGGACACTACTGCGGTCAGACACACTCAGCTACCAGTCAGTAGTAGGAATCATACAGGAGCTAGAGTGATACACTCCCAAATGCGGGTCCTCCATTCTGCCATTCTGAACAAGTGGGCTGTGAGTCAACAATACTGTAATAACTATGTATGGTGCCAGGTAGGTACTTGAAATATTGGGGGGTAGGGGGTGGCACTTTGTAAAGTTTATGATTGTCTAACCACTATGTTGTATACCTGCAACTAATACAAAATAATATTCAATGTAAACTGTAACTGAAAAATAAAATACATTTTTTAAATAAAAACATAAAAAAAAACAAGGGGGCTGTGGCTCCAGGATATGGGGAGAGCTGTAAGACCCACTCTAGTGGTGGATGAGCCCAGCTTGCCTACGAACTGCCCGTGAGCCTGGCCAGCCTCCACCCCCTGGGACAGAATGAAGGGCTTTCTGGACAGACACTCTGGCCCTCATTCCGATAGGTCTGACCCCAAAAATGTACAATGGGGCCATGGCTTCAAATGCCAAAACTCCCCCAGGACTGTGGGAGCCTCCGCAGCCCACTCTTCAAACTATACCCAGCCAATGCTTTTAAAGGAGTTTTGTTCCCAGCGGATTGTTAATTAAAAGTGTCACTCACAGTATTTTCCAAAGACTTGAGTAAAAGAGGCTCGACTTATATGATGATGGCCAGAGTGGCCCAAGTCTGAATGCCAAATGCAAGGGTATTACTCACAAGTACTCATTAATACACTGCTTATTATTTAACCTGAAAACTAAATTCTACTATGGTTCAAATCATTTAGTGCCCCTCACCCCATTCCCAAACGTAGGATAAGCCATTCAGTCTTCCATGCTGCTGTCTCATCTCAGCTGCCTCTCTGAGTTCTGAGTCGTTTCCTTTCTCGTATTTGTCAGTGTAACCTTACTGCCTGCCAGGACCCACAGTTAGCCAGATTAATCCCCAGTCCCCTACTACTCCCACCTCCTTCCTGATTTCACTCCCTTGCTGAATCTACTGCAAGAAAATATCCCTATGCCATCATTAAAAGTCTAATTTCTCTTCAAAATATCTATGTATCTATAAAAAAACATATTTAAAAAGATAGCATACTTTATGCTGATATATGCAATGGCTCACTTTTGCTTTTTTTCTTATCTAAACTCTTCTGAACTTTCAAGTTTTTAACAGTGATTATCTATTGTTTTCATAACCAGTAAAAACAAAAATACTTATTAAGTTACAAAAAGACAAAAGGGAAATGATGCATATCTGTCATCATGTGGCCAAAGTAAGAAGGGAAATGGAATCAATTACCGGCTCCATGTTGTTTATATAGGAAAAAAAGGTACCAGATCCTACAAGAAAGAAAAACTGACACCCTCGACCCCTCCTCCAAAAAAAAAAGATTTTTTTCCCTAGACTACAAAAAAAATGCCTGCAGGGTTTCACTGAGGCCCTGGGTGTGTGGTGAGAAAGGCGTCTATAGCAAAGATAATGGGATGGTATTTTCCTGTTCCTTTGAGAGTCCCTCTGACCACTACTTCCCAGGCTGTCTTTTTCTTTCAGTCACAGAGAGAACAAAACAAATCCTGGTCTCCAACCACATCAGGAGCAAGTGCTTGAATCCCACCCAGGTCCAGATGAGTTTCAGCCCTCAGGACCTTCAATTGTCCCGGGGTAAGAAAGGTGGGCACTTCTCTGGGAAGATATTTGCCTGGAAATTGTAGCTTATGGGAAATTGTGTTGTGTGAAATAATTTTTCTTTTTTGGATAAATATGTTCTTCAATAAAGACAGAAACTTATTTTATTAAGGAAATTCTGTTTGGAGTTAAAATGTCATTGAAATCAGCCCTACCCGGTTTGACTCTGTGGATAGAGCGTGGGCCCAGGACTGAAGGGTCTCGGGTTCGATTCTTATCAAGGGCAGGTGTGGGAGGCAACCAATTAATGCAGGGGTCCTCAAACTTTTTAAACAGGGGGCCAGTTCACTGTCCCTCAGACCGTTGGAGGGCTGGACTATAGTTTAAAAAAAAACCTATGAACAAATTCCTATGCACACTGCACATATCTTATTTTGAAGTAAAAAAACAAAACGGGAACAAATACAATATTTGTATTTGCATGTGGCCCGCGGGCCGTAGTTTGAGGACCCCTGAATTAATGTGTCTCT